GTTTGATTTTACTTTAAAGTGACACTGTCACCTGTCAATACACAAGAATTTTTATTGGCATTTTGAAATAAAAAGAATGAATAATTTAAAAAGAAATACTTTAAATTCTATAACCAACCAAAATTTCAGAAATGTTAGGTACAAGAAAATACATAAAAAAATGTATTATGATTAATTACAACATACATATCTTTCGGGAACGTGTTTGTTTACTAAACATAATGGAGTTCCATTTTTCCACAATGTAGCCATTGAATCACCAACCCATGCAACATAAAGTTTCTTCTCTTGTTGTCTATATAATGCACATACAGCAGTTGTACCACTTACTAAATTCTGAAAGAAAATGTATAATTAATAAATATATTAAATGTGTTGTAGGACAAAATAAAACTTACATATTTTTCTGTTTTTTGTGTAAAGCCTTTGTCTGTAGTAAAGAATGCTTCATACAGTGCATATTCTGGATTAGTTGGATAGTGAATTGACTGTACTAAAAATTGATGTAAATACATTGAACTATAAACAGCAGCATCTAAACCATTATGTCCGTCATAAACTGCATAAAAAGAAGCTTCACCAAAATCCTAACAAACAATTTTAACGTTTTTAATATAGTCTTGAACAAGTTGCTGAATATATCAAAAATGAATATATTTATAATAGATATACATATATTTTAAACATTTTGTGGATATAAACATTTATATTGGTTTGTTATTTGTAAATGTTTTTTTTATGATATTTACTAATTAGTGTTTTTAAATATATACTGCATAATATAATGTAGTATCATAATACATACCTTAACATCAAACAATGTATGAAAATAAGGAACAACTGTTATATAATCTTCCATTTGTCTTCTGATATTTTTTAACACAAATGATGACCACCAGACAGGAGTTAATATGGGTTGATGATATGGAATAACAGTAGCATGATTTAAACAAACATTATTTAATTCTCCAATAACTTTCTGCATTAACCATAATGCCTGATAATCTAATGTAAATAATAAAAAAAAATTGTTAAATAGTTAAATAACAAATATTAAAACCTGTAAGTATATTTTTTTATTAACTTCCAATACTTCCTCAGAAATTATAATTATATACAATTAAACAAAAAGAAAATTACTATATAATAAAGTAAGCAATCAAAATAAATGTGATTATAATTTATATCATTATATGGCAGGTTCGGAATTAGGTAATTAGTATAAAATTTAGATGGAAGGTTGAAAGGAATGTTAAAGAGACTTTAGGGAATCAAACCAAATTAAACTTTTGGGGGACTGAGAAAATCAAATAGGATGTGCGAGATATGACATTTAATTCTTATTGAAATGTAGTGTTGGTACAGTGTTTGGAATCATTAAGATTTGGAATCACTAAATTTAATCACACAGGTAATAATGACCAATAAGTAGTCTATTGAATTAAAAGACCATTATTATTATTTTTATTTAATACTAATAAATTAATAGATTAAGAAAAGAAAAAAAGCGGGTAAGTGGATGTCGCTCTACTGTATAGTAGGTTACAAGTAGGTCAATGTATAATGGATTGTATTAAACTTGAATTCAATGATATAATATATTAATATCATTGTATAAGAAAAACGATTCTGAGTTGACAAGGTTTTCAGTCTGGATATTTTATAATGTTATTATTTTATATTATAGCCTGTAAGCTGAATTAAGAGGACGTGATACCCGCATGTGTTGTCTCCGTCTTACAAGTGCGTAACATAGCAAATTATACTCAAAGCAGACCGCATGTAGCTCCATTAGCTTAAAAGTTATAGTGCATTGACCTCTTATAAAATCTAAAAGTAAGATTATTATCTAGACAACCTCATGGGCTTTTCATTATATTTTAATTTCAAAGTGAGTTATGAGTATTTTAAAATTGTAAATTGTTTGTACATTTTAAAGTACTCATAACTCGCTCTTTAATCACGTCCTCTTAATATTATAATATTATTATTTTTTGTTTGTTTCTATGGTGATAAACTAAGCATTAGAAATTAAAATGCTGTTTTTTAGTAATTTGTCTGTGGTTTTTCCTGAGGCATTAAATAACTATTGATTATTGAGAAAATTGAAAAACGACCTCTTTAAAGTATCATCTTGATCCAATTTGCTAAAATATAAGATACTATATGTTGAAATCAAAGCCCTACTTTTGGTAGAAATTTTGTATACAGGATAAAAAAAAAAAAAATAAACATAAAAACATAAAAACCATTGTAAAACTACTAATTAAAATACAAACCTTCTTTTTCAGGTCGATATCCAAATAATTTTGGTTCAGCTGCCCACTGGACTCTAAGATTGTTTATAATTTTTTGAGTCAAAAATACAACGAGGTCACTTGGACATTTTCTGTAAAAATAAATGTATAGTCATAAAATGTTCATAATATAAAGGAAACAGGGAATATAAGTCACTATTGACTATAAAAATATGCCTATTAACAAGAAAGCAAAAACAAACTAGAAATTGTCTATCAGGAAAAATCACTATTAACACGTTGAATGTGTATGTCTTTTTGCCATTTTTACCCAGTGCGTATGATAAAAGTAAAAAACAACAGTCTTCTGAAAATAACATAAAAAAAACTGCTCCTATATGGTCATACGTCTAAACGACATAATATTAAAATACATATTTTAAAGCATTCGATTTGTCAGCGCTAAATAATAATAATAAAATAACATTCAGCCCACTTAGAGAATAATAAACCATATACTTTAAATATATGTTGGGCTCTAAATGGTGTCAAACGCGTTGCTGATTGATCTTCATGATGCCAATATGTGTCAGTACGCAGTCAACATGTTAAGTGTCAGTGTGTCCACTGACCACTGTAATTAAAATTTGATTAAAATCATAAAGAAGTAAATTTTTTTTATTTCTATAATTTAATATTTAGTACTTACAATCTATTCTGTAAAAACAATAAGTAAATTGAAAGGGGTAAAACATATACAGGTGAAACTTTTGATGGAAGAAGTCACCCATTGGTGAAACTATCTATTTTAAACAATAATTTAGTGGAAAAATGTTACTTATATTATTTTAGCCATTTAAAATATTGTAATTCCGATGCGTGTTAGGCATCTTGGCGGATTTCTCGGAATGGCAAGAGACAGTTATTTTTTTTTATAAGAGTGCTGGGGTGGTAGTGTAGGTATTGTGAAATATTTTATAGAAAAATATATAATTGTTATGAACTGGAAATCTGGAATTATTTATAGATCAAGTATATAAATTGTATGATTAGAAATGTTGAAAGGGTTTTTAGTAAGATTTGAGTTTTACTAATGTCAGACTTTTTAGCACATCCTTAAAGCTGAAGACCATTGGTCCACCTGGGTTCTGAGATGGTTTTAAAAAAGTGACTTAAAGTACTAAATAGATGCTAATTTTTACATTTTATATAATAGTATCTACATAAGGAATAATTTAATTATTTATCTACATGCTAATTCATCATATTTTGGCCTAAGGGTGATACAATTTGGAAACTTAAAGGGCTCAAAAATATTGGCAACATTTTTTTCTTTCTTAAATCTATACAAATTATGAATGTGAAATTAAGATGGGCTCACATGCCTACGGGCTATATGCTTAGCTCTATCACCCACTATCCAAACACTAACCTGAGCATCTACTCAGCATACATCTAGGTATACCATAAAGGCATAAAGTTATTGATAAAATGAGTTCCATATTTGATATTGATAAATTTTGGATCATACTATTGGTATAGTTATAGGTAAATGATATAATTTTCTGTATAAAATCTAACCAAGAGCAAAAATATTCACATACTTAATTTTCTACTAAATCAGTTTTTGTCTGCATATAAAACATCTTACCTGTCCTTCAAATACTGATGACACCAGTCGGCTGCTGCTCCAGCTAAATCACATAGATCCAAGTCAAATCTAGGTAACTTAACGGGTAACTGTTCAAAAGTCACTGTCTCCGGAAATTTGACAAAAAATGCTTGCCAACGCTCATCCATGATGAAACTTATTGGGATTAAACACTAGTAAAACATCGCTCGAATTCAAAATATCAATTTATAAAAATGAATGGAAGAAAAGTTAGTACGTTTCTTTAACTCTCATTCCTATTTCTCGTAACACAGTATAATAGTCGTAGAAAAAAGATTAACAGTACTACAGTAGTCTTCTTTTGCAAATTTGCGGTAAAACTAAAAATTAAAGACTGAAAAACAAGCGCCTAATATAAAAAACAAACAGTGTATCCAAAACAATTGTTGATTCTAAGACGATATTTTTAAAAATTTAAAAATGTATAGCGTAAATAGAATACAAATTTACGGTAAAAATTGTACTTGAAACATATTTCAACATTTATATTATGACTGTATTGTACAATATTTTTAACGGCGTTTACATTTTAATTTGTCTAACTTTTTTTTTTTGTTTTTAACATTTTTAAATATTTTTTCATGATCTGCGCGTTCCCTTGTCAGTTTTTTCCATGGTTTTTTCTTAATTCTTATCTGTTATCATATTCCGCGCGTCATAAGCATTCTCAAATCTCAAAGCCTCTTATTTTCGAATGATTTTCGTATGTAGATTTGTGTAATTGATATTATTTTGGTGTTTTGAAAGTTTGATAATTGATATCATTGAACATTGAACGATGTCCACGACTCCACACATTCACTGTGCACCGTCAATCAAATAAAACAATGTATCAAATATCGATATTATTAAAATAATTAGTCTCAAACTTTTTATACTTAGGTATGTGTGTTAATATTACAACTTAACGTATTATCTAACACCCAAGTTCTATTGAAACGTTTTCGTGATTTCGGCTTTTCGAGTCAACTATGAAACTAATTAAAAAGTCAAATACCTAAACCTTTTGAAGAATTTAAACGTAAGCAGACACAGTAATTTTAATTGTATCGATAATCTTGTAATGACTGACGATTTTTAGCAATAACAACATGAAGCTCGTACATAAAGACATAGAAAAGGATGGCAAAGGGTTTGTATTAATTACATTAATGATATTGTAAAATTGTTATTATAAGATCAATAGTTAAATATTCTGTTTCTAAAATATGTTAGGGTCATTGTGCTCATACCCGAAGAAGCTGAAGATATGTGGCAGGCCTACAATATTATAAGAAAAGGAGATCAAATTCGTGCATCAACTATAAGGTATTGAAATGCTATCAATAATTTGTTACTAAAAGTTAATACAAATGCTTTACTCAATTTTTTCAATCCTATGTCATTAAAATAAGTTTTATTTGATGGCTAAAATTCATGGTAAATTTATCTAAATTTCAATTTTAAATACATTATACCTATAGGTAGTTTAAATTTAGCTATGTAATTAGAAATAATCTTCACGGAATGGATAATTTCTTATGAATATAAATCTTTGCTAATAATCTAAATTTGTTTTAGGCAGAGTTTAAGTCCCAGAAAAAATGTCTTGTTGATCTTTACATAAGATGTATAAAATATATTTTAGTTTTAAAACGGTAATCTATCTTCCTTAACTACTGTAAATAGTAAATACCTGTGCCCTACATTTTAAATTTATTACATTTGGTATGCAATAGATATGTTTATATGTACTATAATTTTACAGAAAAGTACAAAATGAATCAGCTACTGGATCGTCCACTAGCCATCGAGTACGAACAACATTAACTATTAGTGTAGAGTCGGTGGATTTTGACACTCAAGCTTGTCTATTGCGGTTAAAAGGGAGAAATATTGAAGAAAATGAGTATGTCAAAGTAAGTGGTTATTTTTAGATTCTGAAAGTAGCAATAATTGTATTGGTTCTACAATGTACTGTTATTTTTTTGTGACGTAACCTTTAGAAGCAGTTAAAATTTTTCATTCTTCAACATTTGATGGTGGTTACTGATGACAAATTGGATTTAGTTGGTATCTCGGGGGGTCAAATTGTTGGTATTGACTTATAGGTATTACAACTTGTAATATTAAAATATAGGCATTTTTGTGATCTACCGCACAATTTAGAATGTAATATATAATCTATTAATGTACTATGTTATTTTACTATTTTAATGACTGGGTGGGTTTACCATTACAGTGAGATTTATCTCAATTGCCTATCATGTGTCACCAGTAGGAATAATTTAATATTTCACTCATGATACTATTATACTAACCGTTTTATATAGTTTTTAAAATATAATATATTATGGTAGATATATTGGCATATTGTAGGAATTCTATAATATATGCATTTTATTTATGGCATAAGTTTGATTAACTTAATGTATTACTAATATCAATAGATAAAAATATCTTTAGAAATGTAGGCATGTAGACTATCTGCTCGTTTCTAAATACAATGATTTATCATTGAATTAAAATTACACATAACCATTACAGTAGCCTATTAAATGACGAGTTACATTCAACATCTACTATATAACAGTGTGACTTTCCTGGTGTTTTTTTTTTAAACATGTACCTTTACTGTAATTGTATTGTTTAGATGGGTGCCTATCATACCATTGATTTGGAATTGAACAGAAAATTTACTCTAATGAAAGAAGAATGGGACTCAATTGATTTAGGAAGAATTGAAATGGCCACCGATCCAGCACAGGTTTTATTAATTATATAATATAAGATTATTAATATATCTGTGTTCAAACAATTGTAAACTGTCAAAATTATTTTAGACAGCAGATGTAGCGGCAGTCATAATGCAAGAAGGTTTAGCACATGTATGCTTAATTTCTGGTAGTCGGACAATAGTACGTGCCAAAATTGACCAAAATATACCACGAAAGCGAAAAGGAGATGTAAAGCAACATGAAAAAGTATTTAAATAAACATTCTACAATTCTACATCTAGAACACTTGATTAATTATCAAAAAAAAAAAAAAAAAAAATGTAGGGAATTTTAAGATTTTTCGACTTGGTGATGCAGGCAATATTGCGTCATATCAGATTTGATATTGTTAAGTGCACAATAATTGCAAGTCCTGGTTTTGTGAGAGATCAATTTTTTGAATATGTGATGCAAGAAGCTGTAAAAACAGATAACAAGACAATTTTAGAAAATAAATCTAAATTTATAACTGCCCATGCATCAAGTGGGTTCAAACATTCTTTGAAAGGTAAAATGTTGATGTTTTGTTATTAATAGTTTGTTTTTTGATTTTGAGATATGAAAATAATATAATTTTATTATTTCCATGTATTATGTATAGTTATATCACTTTTAATTTTTATGCAGTTATAAGTCTAACTTCTTTTCATCATATTTTAACTTTTAATTACTTATATTATAAATTGTATGTAATTTTACAATTATTTTAAATGTCTGTACATTTTTTTAATAATTGAAATTAATTTTTTTTGTATTTAAAAATTGATCCATGACAACTAGTTTTTATACGTTTTTTTAGAAGTTCTATCAAATCCATCCATAGCTGCTAAACTTGAAGATACAAAAGCATTAGGTGAATTAAAAGTGTTGGATAACTTTTATAAAACATTGCAATCTGAATCAACTAGAGCTTTTTATGGTATAAATCATGTGGAAAAAGCTAATGAAGTATTAGGAATCGAAACATTACTTATCACCGATAGTTTATTTAGGTCAGTGCACTACATTTTGTCCTACTATTATTCCTTAATCCTTAATAAATGGTTCATTATTTAGGAGTCAGAATATTGCTGAGCGTAAACGTTATGTTAAACTAGTAGATAGTGTCAAAGAATCTGGGGGTGATGTCAAAATATTTTCAAGCATGCATGTTACTGGAGAACGTAAGTAAATAATGTGTACTATAATTTTTACATTAAAAATATTTTCATTTATCTAGAATTATCTCAAATTACTGGTGTTGCTGCCATACTACGATTTCCCATGCCCGAGTTAGAAGACGATGAAGAAGAAGATGATAATGACTCGGATGAATATACACCACTACCACCAAGTTGATCAAATGTTTATTTTCATTACCATATGAATACTAAATATTATAATTTATTTGAATTATTATTATTTAAGTTATAGCTAGTTTTTTAAATACTATTGATTTGCTACGTTTATTTCAAATTCTTAATAATTGTTTGTATGTATGTGAATGAAATATAAATATAAAATATCGTATATTTTTGAAAATTATAACATGTTAACGTGTAAAAACACTTGTAAATTTATAAATTATTTAATTTTATGTTTCTCAAAATATTTACATAAGTATAACATAAAGAACTTTAAACTGAAGAGAATAGTTGTAATATTATAAATTATTATTACCAGATATAAAAAAAAGGTTTGCAAGTGGGTGCCACTCTGCTGTATAGTAGGTTACAAGTGGGTCACTGTAAAAGATGGTGTTAAATTTGACTTCATTGATATAATATCCTTGTATAAGAAAAACAATTCTGAATGAAAACGGTCAGTCAGCCTATGATAATATTATCACTATAAGTATATTTGATATTATTGTGAATAAAGTAATTTATATATTATAAACTATTTACGTGGAACCTTGTTTTAAATTTTTAATCCTTAGCTATCAAAGTTGAATATTTTATAAATTTCCAACTACAATATAATTATTAAATTTTAAATTTGATAAATTTTGTCGAAATTTGAACTTTAAATGCTTATAAAAAAAATTGTGCCTATGAATTTTTAATATTTTTCAACTGCTATTGTAACAATATATCAGGAGCCTTGCATTAAATTTTCACTCTTTTTTATCCAACAAATACAATTTTATTGATATTTATAGAACAAAAAAACTAAAAAAATTGAAAACTGGCAATGTCCACAAACAACTCAAAAAGAGTCAAATTATTTGGAAAATGTTATGATGTACAGGATATGTTAATATAAACATTCAGTAAAGTTTTCAAGTATCTACGGTCATTTTTTTAAGAGTTACACTAAAAACCAAAATCGATTTTGAGTTAAAATTTCCGTTTTTTCTTAATTTATTTGTTTTTCACAGCTTTTTCTGATTAACTAGGAATTTTAAATTTTGTCCTCCCAATGCATCAACAATATTCACTTTCCTACCGAACAAGATACTGACGTTGAAAATCGAAGCATTATTTCGACTACTCATCGTGTAATGTATACACACACATAAAAAATGAAAGAAAAAACACTTTATAAAACCAATATATTCATCGATCCCCTCAGAATCTTAAAGTTAAAACAAGAAACTATTTTAAATATCATTTTTTTTTATTAAATTCTAGGTAATTCTAGCCTAGTATATCAAAAATGTAATAATACTTTTAATACAAAATAACTAAAATTTATACGGATTATTTGTTTAAATAGCTTAAATTAATATGCATTTACATGTCAAAATAACTATGAAATATTTACCAACTACCTTATATGCTCTTAAAACTAGTTCAAATGTTTATAAAAAAAAAACCTCATATCCAATTGATGCAAAAAGCACCTTGAAATATGCTCTCATAAGATTTAAAATTTAGTATTTTAATAAAATGCAAACAATTCACTACTTGACTTAAATAAACATTTTTACCATCAAAATTTGTCTCAATATAAAAATTATCTATTTTGAATTTTTCCAAAAAATTGTGACATTTTAAATTTTCATTATTAAAATATAAAAAGTTATACTTCACCTGTAACGCAAGTGTCTATAAATTATTAATAATAAAAAATTTTTGGAACAAAAGTTGTATCATTTGTCAGGTCTTTCAGTCACATACCGTAAATATTTATATCAGTATGAGTATTTATTTTTCTAATAGTAATAAGTTAGATTGAACTAATTTTTGCTTAAAGCATTCCACGTGTTAGGTTTAGGTATATAGTACATTAATAATAATAATTAATAGCTCTTATTCACTTATAGACCAATAACAATGTAATATAATAGAACGGTATGAATTGGTTTATTGTAATTGGCTTTAAAAAAGTACCGACTAGATACAATTAGCTACCAGAAGGTAGAAACTACCCTTGAAGTAGAAGATCTAAGCATTTGCTCTACAATACAATCTGTACACAAACACAAAAATAAAAACCAAATTATGAAACTAATACATTTATCAGAAATGTATCAATTGAAAGATGAAAAGTTAATTTATGGAAGTAATTGTGTATTACTTTACATTGAAGGGTTCATAGATAATTGTTTCATATAAACATAATATATGTTAATAATAACATCGTAGGTACTATAAATTTGTAAATATTTTTGGCCGTTAAATCAAATGCTGTAAGAACATGTTTATTAATTTAAGGACAATAAATAATTCCTTAAAGTAATTTAAAACTAGATAAGTTATATTATGTATTGTATCATAATTTTTATCAATAACATCTATGGATAGAAAAATTAAAAAATACTTATTATTATAAATTTGGATAAATAAAAAAGTCTAATCCTTTAACTATTAAAAGATTTATTTTTATAAATTTAAAAATATTCATAATAATCAATCATAGAATTTACATCAATGTAGCAGCTTGTGCTCTTCTTGCTCTAATCTCTGCACGTTTATTTTCAACACTTGTTCTTTCATGAATACGTCGTTTGTATTTCAGTAATTTAATTTCTTTCTCTCTCTTCATTTTACCAGACTTCATACTTTTATATAAGTTCCTATATTTCTTTTGAATCATTTTTTCTTTAAGGAGTCTCATTTGATTATGTTCACGTCTAAGTTTTCCTTTATTAATCACTTCTGGCATACCTAACTCAACCTTCATTTTTTTACGCTAAATTATAAAAAATAAAATAAAAATATAAGTAAGTATATAAAATAATAATATAGAAGTATTTACTTTAATTTCAGCTAATTGTTCTTCAGTCATTTCACCATCAAAATCATCTAGATCCTCATCATCAGCATCCATGGTTTCGTCCTCAGATTCTTTTTTATCATCTTCAATGTCTTCAATATCATTATCGGAAATTTCGTCCAACAATTCTTGATCTATAGAAAAATTAAAAATTAGTTAGCAAATGTTTATTTTTACAAAGAACAACATGTTACCTTTATTAACTATTACGGACGGGTCAGTTAAGGCTTTTTCTTCAGGTGGCACATAACGTTGTGTACGATATTCAACGGTAAATGGTGACAAATGAGGAGGTAATGGTGTGCCAATAAAATATTTCTCAACTGGAAAAAGTTCACGTGCGTTTATACAATCAAACACCCACTGAGGCTGAATATAGTATCTGTAAAATAATTAGATAGGTTATTATGTTGTAAAATAGATAATTACTAATTAGGTATTTATCACTATTAAAAATACATAATAATAACCAATGTTGATAATATTGTATATTACAGCATTATAGAAACAACAAAAGCTAGGACATTTTAATGTTATTACAAACAGACGAACAGCTACTACTATAATATAAAAACCGTATATTTGCAATATGACCAGAGGGTAGTGTTCAATTTTTTAGTAACCACCTAATTTTGAAACAAGACCATAAATTACAGTCAAAATAAATTTTATTTACCTTGAAATATACTGTTTTTCAAGTTCAGGCCTGTCCACTATTTGATGAGTAATAGTTTCATCAGTTTCTGGAAATGTAGCACCTTCGGGGAATGTTGTTTCATCCCAAGACACTTGAGCTCCAAAACATCTGAGTGCAAATACTAAAGGCTCTCTGGGAACTTCTCTGTTTAAGAATACTTTAAGTCCTTCAAACAGTTTCTTTAATTTTCTTACTTTCTCATATTCTTTACGTGCTTCTTCAGCTTTTGATTCATCACCATCCTAAAAGAATTAAAAGTTAATTTCATATTCAATCATACTAATATCATTTTAATTCATGTTATACCACTGCAAAAGTATCTAAATCTAACTCTGCGTCTGCCGGATCTTCAACATCTTCTGCAGTTTTCTGTAGCGGTAAATTTAATGCAGCTACACGATCGCTTGTTTCATTTTCTTCTAAAATTTCTTCTTCAAGTCTCTCAGCTAAAAAAAAATTATATATAAATAACATTAAATATGCAAGAAATTCAAATAATCACCATTGTATGAACCAAGTCGTGGAGGGTAGTATAGGTTTAAATTGTGGTAAAGACGGTAGTTCACAAAACCTAATGCAGTTGAATAAAAATCTGCAAATGTGGCCATAGTATAAAAATCAACCTCTTGCTTTTTTTGTGGCTAAAGAAAGATCATTGTTATTATTACATAAATTTAAATTGAAAAATTATGAAAAATCTTACTTCATGAGGATAATTGTGAGGGATAACCCAAGTAATAGCTTGGCCTTTTATTTCAACTTGAAAATAAATTCCCTTAATAGATATGAATACCTTGCGTAAAGCACGTGCCGCAATGCATACATGCATAAACTCAACAGTAAGGCGACGGCATAATGCAATTAAGTTTGGAGGAATACTTTTTAACTTTGGAAAAGTGGAAAACAAAGAGCAAAGGGTTAAAGCGTCGTCCATATCACGTAATGCATCAATGAACGTTGGATATCGTTCTTTCACTACATGATCAATGGCTACACGTGGGATGGTATTCGCATATCGTTTTATCATATCTTTTTGATGCATTCCCTTGGCACGACGTAATCGATTCAAGTGCACCTACAAATGAAATTATTAAAAATATGTAGAATATATATTTCATACATCGAACTTACTTGAAGATCGCGTAGTTTCCATATCATAGGTTCATGCAGAAGAAACAGTATATCTTTTTTCAAATACAAAATATGAATACCACTCTTTCCTCTCTGGGCTCGGCGACGGTGAGCAGGTTCTCTTGGATAAATCCCTTTGATTATACATAGTGTACGAAAATCTTTCAACGATAGCTGGAGTTTATTTAAAGCTGCTCGCCTTGTGACATATCTAGCTCCCTCGCCGGATTGAAACTGTGCAAAATATAAATGAATAGTAATACATTTTTACGTAATTATAAGTACTTTTACATACCTTTTTCTTCTGCATAGGCATTTTAGCATGAAACAAAAAAAATAATAATAACAAAAATACTAGAAACGTATAAAATTCATCAAAAAACGTGTTGTGTTGTTTACAACGTAATCTAAAAAATTAAAGTAGCGTAACCTCAAACTTCTTAAATTGATTACCACCACGGTTTAAGTGATAGTATTAATCTGTGATAGTACCACAGTATGGTCATAGAACAATATGGTGGTAACTGTGGTATGGTTCTGTTGTACAACCATGTTCTCATTGTTATAATATTCTGTGGTGCTCTAATGTTGGGAGTTGAGATTGTTTTGTATAGCAGTATAGGCAACCATGTCCATTTATACATGTTCTTATCAATGACTATGCCAATTGGAAGTCACACTCGTTAAATGTAATAGTTTATTCACTACTTTATTGTATTTATTGTATATTTTCTATTGGGTTCTTAATTTATAATTTATATTGTTTTTATTTAACAAAATAGTTAGGTACTACTAATTATATTGATATCTTAGATATCTCAAATCACAATACACTAGTCTGTGCCAAATACTATATCTATAGTACATTAGTACCTATTGTCTGTGCCTAGATGTCTCATTGAGTCGCATGGTTAGATAATTTTGATATTTGCTATTATTTACTAATAATTGTTTAATCATGCCTTCTGCAATTGAAACCAAAAATGTAACTAGAAGAGAAATTCTTGACATGATGAATGAAAAGGAAAAATTTGAACAACAATTGAAATCTCTTGGAGAAGTTTTGCAATCGGTAAACGGAAATTAAGTTCTTATTTAATTCCTAATTTAAACTAATTTGATTTAATATATTATTTTTAAAGTAGTGTTAAATATTGAACATAAATATTCAAATTTTAAAATATTACATGTCATTTTAATGTCGGATTGCATGAACAATCACTAAACATTTAATGAATCAATAATGAGTTGATGGTCCTTCGAACATGCTTTTTTGGCCTATTAAATTTGATAGAACCATCAAATTAAACAATTTTTTATGCAACCCGGCATTAGTCAATGTCTAAAGACTTATTTTACATGATAATGTTGTTATAATCTTTACCTTTGTAATAACCTTGTTCTCTGTACATCATATTATATAAGTATTGATATGTGTAACATAGTAAACATATTTTTTGTATTAGCGTTGAGTTTCACCTGGTTTTCTTTTATTATTAATATATAAGTAATTACTGACAATAGTTCATTAAAACATTAACCTTATAGTTATTAATTTTGTTTGCACTATATGTTACTTATTTAAATTAAAGTAAACAAACCAAGTACCATGTGATGATAGATGAAGCACAGATGTAACAAATTGTTATGATGTGATGAGATGTCTTTTTAAGTTCTAATATTTAATACATTTTCAATTTTAGCATGGAGTCGGCATGGACGAACCTTTAGTGGATGACCAAGACTTTCCCAGGAATGACATTGATGTACACCAAATAAGATTAATACGTAATCGTATTATTTGTAAGTACTGTATTCTTAAAATAAATCTACTTCAATCTTGGTAACATGAAAATTGTATAACTTTACATAATTTATACAAATCAAAACCCACTTCATTTTTCTTTTATCTAGTAATGTGGGTGTTGCAAGTTTAAAAGGAGACATGTTTACTATCTACTATCTAGTGTGTTTTAATATTAAAAAATTGCATTTAACAATTTTACTCTAGCAAGTATCCAGTGGAGTATATACACATTATTTTCACTATGGGCCAATTTATTAGTTATCACTAGTCAAGCATAGCACAACTAACATAGCCATAACTATACATTTTTGAGGGAGCTTGGTGGTTGTAATTATGATTTATGACATAAACAGTACAAATAAAAATTTCACAATTTAATTTTATAATTATTATGTAAATTGTAAATTTAATTTTTTGATTCTTTTTAAAAAAATATTGACAGTGTCATTTATATACTTTAATGTTATCTTACTATGAATTTAACATCAAAGCAAGTCCTGACAATCTAACATTCGCTTGCTGATTTCTCAAAAACGATTTTAATCAACTGGCTAACTTAATCATTGTGAAAAACTGTAAACAGTGTAGATATACATAAATTTAACCTGGAATTTCACTATTGGCTCTGGCCTAGGGGGCCTTCCCCCTATATACGCCACTGCAAGTATCCATCTATTATTTTAATGACATAGAAATTGGATGGAAATATAATCATTTCTTAATTATAAAGAACTTTATTAGTTTTATAGTACTGAAATGTAATGTTTAGCTTATTTGTTTTAGGTGCACGTAATGATTTAAAAGCCATAATGGACCGTATTGATAAAAGTTTAAATGCTTATTTTACACAAATGAACCATAATGAACCTGAAGAACACATACATAATGGACATTGCAGTTTGAAACCAGATAATTAATAACTCAACAAACATATATTTGGAATTTTATAATTATTTGTATACCTTAAATTATAATTTTAAACTTTTACTTATAATTAATATTTGATCAAATTGAATGTTTTTTTATTGCTAGTATCTACAAGTATCTACTTATGTAGATGCCATCAAATAGTACTCTACAAGTTTGAAAAAAAAACTTTATTTTGTGTCAGCTAATATGGCTATAGCCCCAAGGATTGTTTTAATAAACAAAAAAAGTATAAACAATGATAGGAAAATGTAATTAGTATTACAATTGTTTAGAAATGTCTTGTAAATTGTAATAAATTTGGTAATTTTACAGTATACACTATACCCAGTGGTGTATATAAGGTGATGCTAACAGGCTGAATCTTCCCTTCACCACACCATTGACAGTATTAATATTAGTACTTAATATTTATTAAGTTTCAACTGCATTAAATTTGTAAACAATTCCCAAAGGTGTAGATTCAAATACGTCTCAACAAATTAGCTATGACCAACGTAAATAAAAAAGAATGATTGACAGAAAATTTATGTTGTGTAAACATTTTCAAATACTTCCCTCTCAAATTATTAGACTGAACCAAAAAAAAATTAAAATTGTTTTTTAGTGTCCATTATTTTTATAGCAAAAAAGTTTTTTAAAATATATTTTGGTACATATTTGAAAGCACTTTCTTTATTTTTGAAACCTTATCATGTAAGACAACTGTGAGTAATTATTAATTTTCAAGCCCTCTCCCACCCCCACTGAAAATTCCTGTGCATGACAATATAGAAATTCGCTAGACTTAATCGGTGTGAAAAATAATGCACCGGGTTGTTTGGACCATAATACCATATTGTTTACATGTTTCATTATCCCGATGCGGGATAATGTGGAATAATTTTAAGCCGGTCTAGTTTAACGAATTTCTAGAATTTCGCTGACTATACCTACAAAGCTACAACCTGACTACTATAACTAATATATTATATCTATACAGGTACCATGGTCCAATAAAGAGGTAATACTCATACTAAATATATTTACAACAAATTTAATTATTTTGGTTGTACTTGGAGCAACCCATCTTAATGACGATTAGATGATTAGCCATATTTTGTTTTACGCATTTTCATATTTTTCAAGTCGTAGAAAATTTAAACATTTTTTAACTTTTCAATTTTATATTCTTAACGTAGCGATAAAGGTTTTACAATGATGTGTGTTTTTTTTGTTTTCAATCGTAAATTTTTTTGGTAAGTAGTAATAATGCTCTAAATTTTTACTTTAGTATCTTTTCTGATTGGAGAGTGAATTTAGTAGGTAGTAGTGCTTCAAAGAGGTGAAAAATGATTTTTTTTTTTCTTTATTTAGTGTAACTCAAAAACTAATAACCGTTGATCCTTGATACTAAACATTTTTACCAAATGTTAATATAAACATATTATATTCCATACCTATATGATACAATATTCTAATTAAATAGGTATACTTTTTTCAATTCTATATTAATTATTTAAATATTAGGTATTTAGTGCATAACAGATAATCGTTTCATTCTCATCACAATGTAATTTTGGACAATTGCTGTCGACATTGTGACAATTTCGTGCGGGCTCGTGGTTTTCGCTGGTGTAGCCGGCCATACCGTAACCATAGAACAATAACCGTAACCGGCGGGCGTCCGGAGCGGGCAGCAATGCAAGTATGCAACTCTGACCGCCTTCACGGTTGGCGGGGAACGGCCATCCACCTCTGACGGCCGGTTGACGGGTAAAACCGGGCCGAAGTCGGCGACTGACGCCTCCGCGGCCCTTGACTATCGCCCAGCTGCTCAAAGAAGGTCCCGAGAGGACAAAAATCCAGGGACTCTGTCATAATTTCAAATGTATGCTCAAAACATGGAAATTCGAGCCTATTAAGCAAGCTTTCCACAACGTGACTACGTTTTAGGAAAATTTATTGAGGGGCTCCGGCCCTGGGGACATAATAATCATAATATGGCATGTGCAGAGTACGTGACAAGTGCGTTGCTGATATAGTTGAAACATTTGCCGACAATGCTTTTGAGTGTAAAATGTTAATATCCCGACCAGAGGTGGTCAATGGTCATATGACTTTGTCAAGGGGTATGGCTGATTTTTAACATGCACTATTTGCAGATTACCTATTAAAAATAAAATGTATGGTTATCAGATCTTAAACGTTGAAAAAAAGCTTATGGGGGGGAGAGATCTTTCCCTAAAAGATGTTAGTCCTAATTTTAAAATTTGGAATCCCTATACCATATTAATATTGTTATAGTATATAATCGGCGTAATATATTGGTGTTATATACTTATATATTATAATCCAGTGGCGAGCATATTTCAATACCTAAAGGCGCGTTTACACGGTTCACTCTTGGTGATCATTTTGGATGAATCATCCACAGACCACAGTGAATGAATAAGAACAATGTAATCATCCAGAGTGAAGGAAAGTTTTACATGACCCAACTTTGTTCATCGTTCAATGAGGATGATCATTTTACATTGTTCTTATTTATTCACTGTGGATGATTCATCCAAAATGATCATCAAGAGTGAACCGTGTAAACGCGCCTTAAGAGGACGCCACACCCGCATGTGTTGTCTCCGTCTTACAAACGCCAAACGCGTAACATAGCAAATTACGTCCACGGAAAACAAACGAATCGGCATCAAAAAGTGGTTTTAGAGTAAAAATACCTATAATAAAACTTAAAGAGAACAATATTTCGGAGGGAACCTCATCGGGGTTTTGTATTAATCTAAATACACAGCTAGATATTGAAGGCACAAAAACTCTTTTTTTAAATTTTTTTAAATAACCACAACTTTTTTAATAGTTAATATTTTTAAAAACGCCGATGAGGTTCCCTCCAAAATATTGTTCTCTTTAAGTTTTATTATAGGTATTTTTACTCTAAAACCACTTTTTGATGCCGATTCGTTTGTTTTCCGTGGACGTAATTTGCTATGTTACGCGTTTGTAAGACGGAGACAACACATGCGGGTGTGGCGTCCTCTTAAGAAAAGTATTGAAACAGTGACCCACCCACTACCAATATATGATTTAAATTTTAAAGCTGTTTGCAAATTTAGAATTTTTTTATAGGACCTCGTCAATAATTTAGTATGAAAAAAATACTAGAATAATTAATGAAGACAATAATACCACACAAACTTTTAATTAAAAAAAAAAATATACATTTCTAGGGTTAAGCAATTGCATTAGGTTCACGTCATTCACCACGCCACTGTCATAACTCAAAATCCCCACAAGTACACAACAGTTATTACTTATTAGTTATTTGTGTATGTGAGCCTGTGACAATGACTTTGGCTAAAATCTACTTTACCAACCCCCTCACGATTTTCAAAATTTTTTTTTTCAAAAGACTTGTTTTTTTATGCTTAAAACGATGGTGTAATTTTTTTTTCCCGGAAACTATTATTTTAGAAGTTATAGCCTTCCAAATTTACGATTTTCCGTTTATGCGCATGCGCGCAACGCTACTTGACTGCCACGCGCGCCTATAACAAATTTTTTTTTTTACGTATTTTAACAAGTTTTGGGACATAGTCAGTCTTGGGTAAGTAATATTGTGAATCACGTCATTATTATGGTGAAATATAAACTATAGTTGAGTACCTAATTAGACTAGGTATATTAGCCCAATTAAAATAAATACTGTAAAAATGTTAAATATATTTGATACTAATTTTAAATTTATAGTAATTATTTGCAAATATATGCAATTTTCTTAACCCTGTGACCCACTTGGGGAGGTGTTGCACAGCAAGTCGGGGGGATATTTTCGATTTGCGGAGCGGAGCGACGGCGCCGAGGAGCGTAGCGACGAGTGCCGCTAGCACCGCATCACTGTACGATGTTTTTTCAAATTGGTGCCTCGGTGCAACAAAAATGATATTTTCTCAACCCTGTGACCCACTTGGGGAGGTGTTGCACAGCAAGTCGGGGGATAAATTACTATTGTACCATCGTTTTAAACAGGTTAGAATACGTAAGTACAAAAAAATAACTAAAATAGTCCTCCGCTTGGCATTATAGTAGTGTTGCGCGCATGCGCATAAACGTAAAATCGCAAACTTTGGAAGTCTATAACTTCTAAAATAATAGTTTCCGGGAAAAAAAAATTACACAATCGTTTTAAGCATAAAAAACAAGTCTTTTGAAAAAAAAAATTTTGAAAATCGTGGGGGGTTGGTAAAGTAGATTTGTTCCTGACTTTTATTGAAATTTTTCATTGCTATTATGATTTTGAGTTTTGAACTATTTTTAATCGTTTACACTCACGGATTAATATAATATCTTGTCCGTGGTCCGTGCTTACAAGTTACAATCCATACTGGATAGTTATGATAACATTTTCAAAATTGATATTTTATTTTGGTCACACTGTACTTTTATCATATTTGCCAAACGTTTTCCACTTTCATTTGTTAAATAATAAATATCATTGAATCGAAATCCGAAGTTTTTAATTTTATCCTCTAATCTGTATTCTGTATAGTTCAGAGTTCTCTACTTCTAACTTCTAAATTTCTAATATTCTCTATCAAAATTTTCATAATAATTCGTATTTCGTATTCTACAGTATACACAGTAATTTACAGGTATTAATGTTTTGTAATTTTTTATAGACATATTTATCAAATTATGTTATACAACAAACGTAGTTGACCAATGTCAGACGTAGTGTTACGGCTAAAATGCCGTTCGGGAACGTTTCCAATGACAGTTCCTTTAAATTGTCCAATATCTATTTTGAAAGAGCAGGTGTCAGTACTGACCGAAATACCGGTAGCTAGCATTAAACTGTTGTTTGGCTTTCCACCCAAGTCCATACACAAAATAGAAGGTACTATTGAAGATGCTGGTCTTAAGTCAGGTGATACAATTATAGCCGAGGTAGACTCAAGTAGTGCTAGTGTCCAACAGTCCAGAGTACAAACTGAAAGTAATACTCTAAAGCATGTCACAGATCAAGAAGTAGGAGATCAAGTGCCATTGATTTTGCGTAAAGTTGTACCTGCTGATAATTCTTGTTTGTTCACCAGTATGGGATTTGTGTTGGGAGGTAATATTAATTTAATTGTATATATATTTGTATTTTATTGGGAAAAATTCCTGAGTAAATGTATGAAATAATAGTTATTTCACACTTGTCAACAATTGTATGTATCCTTTTTAAATAATATTTGTTATTTACCTATAAAGGTATTGAAAACAGTTTTAAATTTCTGAATTTCTAATAACGTTTGCAACTACCAAAGGATACAAAGTGAATACTATTTGTACATAACAGTAATTTTATTATTTTTGTTTAATTAAGTAATGGAGAAAAATTGTCATAACTTGTAGATATTTTTAGATTTGGCCTAAATGTTCAATGGTTATAATTATAAAATACTTAAAGGGATTGGAAGCGGCGATTTTCTGTGTTTGTCTAACACATGTGCAACATACATTTATAGACGTGTTCTATTTCCAACATTCGATTAATCTAGTGAAACGATAAGAATTCTGAAAACAGATTTGAATTTGTCGTCAAGTCTTTTTGAGATCGATATTCTCACATTTTTGATTTTTTGATTTAAACTTCTCCAAAAATTGAAATATGTAAAGTTTTTAGTTACTTTTTTTTAATATATTGTTTTTATGATTTTGGCGGGATAATATCAAAAATCTGAGAAAGTCGATCTCAAGAAAACTTGACAACAAATTCAAATCAGTTTTACAGAATTCTTATCGCTTCACTAGATTAATCGGTACATTGGAAATAGAACACATCTTTAATCCTATGTTGCACGTGTGTTAGACAAAGACAGAAAATTGCCGCTTCCAATCCCCTTAGCGTAATGCATAATATTGTTTGTTGATGATTTTCAGGTAAAATTGATTTGAGTAGTGGCGACTTTATGCGTCAGATAATAGCTACTGCAGTAAAAGATAATCAAACAGATTTTAGTGAAGCAGTACTTGGAAAACCTAATGAAGATTATTGCGAATGGATACGGAATCCAAATTCATGGGGTGGTGCTATTGAGGTGTCTATATTGTCTAACTTCTATGGTATGGAAATTGCCGTAATTGATACTCAAAGTGGTTCTATTAGTAAATTTGGTGAAGATAAGAACTACCCTCACCGAGTATTTCTTATTTATGATGGTATTCATTATGATCCTCTTTATTTGGAATCACCGTTTACTGTAAGTATTTATTTTTTTAAATAAATGTTTTACATTATTCAAATTTATTTAATTATATTTGTATATAATTGCAGCCTGGAGAGATACAAACAATATTCCCAACAAATGATGATCGCATGTTAGATGCTTCTCAGATGTTGGCTAATGAAGCTAAGTCTAGTAGACAGTATACAGATGTAAATCGATTTACACTTAAGTGCCTTGATTGTGGTTGTATTATGATTGGACAAACACAAGCACAAGAACATGCCAAATTAACTGCTCATAACAATTTTAATGAATACTAATATATACATAACTTCACATGCAATACTTAATAGAGTTCAGTTGTTTTTGTCTTTAATTAAACTTTAGTTTATACATAATTATTTACTATATTTTGGTTTGGTAATATTATTTTCCAGTACTAAGGTAATCCTATGTATAATAAATTATATTATGCAATAAAATGCATTGTATCTTATATATATATATCATGTTGTGGTAGTATAAACTACTTTACCCCAAAATAAAGCTTGGTGGGAGGAGAGCTAAACACTCTGAATGTTTGAAGCCCATTTAGATTCAGGCGCATCCAAATGAATCGCTGAGTGACGTCTGGACCCCTGGCCGGGTCTATTTGCTCTGTCATTGGTCGCCGTTAGTCGGCCGTATTCGCCTCCGACACCCTAAAATGCCGCAGCTGAGGTAACGCTCGCTGTCATGTGCGAGTTTCGACCGGTTTTCATGCTTCGCCTGGTGCTCTCATATTCGGTACAGAGTAATTTAAACTGACCAAAAATATTTAATAGTGATATAAATTTGTGAAGAGGGGGGACTGTTCTCATTTTGCAGTAAAAAATGTCAGGACTCCAGACCTTTCTAATTATGCCTCGGATTATAATTATCTAACAAAAAATTATTGAGAATTTTGTAAAGAATCATCTTAAATACATAGGTATGAAAACATTTATGCAATTATTAAAATCAACATTAACAATATCAGTACAAAATATTTTTTAAAAATAAAATATTAATTTTAATAGGTAACTATCTAAATTTTTAAAAAAAATTGTCAATTAAAGATCACTGTTATGTTCTATTTATATAAATAAATATATTTTGTATTCTGGACAGAATAAAATTAATCACTGGATAACATAACATAATATTAAGTTAATTTTTTTTTAAATACTTTTTTTGTAATTTCTATTAAATGTATATCATTCCCTTTCATAAGTTCATAAATATCTAGCTCATTGTTTTGACCCAATTCTTCAAGTGGTTTGTGTGTACAATTAAGTTTCCATTTTGCTGCAAGTTCGTCAATTCCGTATTCTGGGTCTCTTTCATGATATGTTGTCATAAACTTGGCCAACGGATTACGTTCTAATAAAAATGATATAGTTGCAATTAGATCCTCAAACAAGGTTGGTTCGTAAAAACAATCTGAACCAATAATCAAATCAAATGGTCCAATATTTAAAGTTTCACGGAAAAAGTAACCCCACTGCAATCCAAGTACTCTTATCTATATACAAAATAATTAATTTTATAGAAAAAATAACTAATAAAATAGATGGTAAAAACATTTACTTGTTCGGGATACAAGCTATTCATATAGCAACATTTCTGAACATGTTTGATAGTTCCGGGTATAGTAGGGTCATCAGTTAATGTAACAATAGCTCCACATTTAGCAGCTACTATACCAGGCAAAGAAGTTCCAGAACCAACTTCTAATATCTTTTTTCCAGGCAGTTCTAGTCTGTGTTCCCATATAATCCATGCGAGTACAGGTGATGCAGGCCATACATAATAATGATAATCTCCTTCTAGAGCCTTTAATAAAATGTAATTTATGTTAGATAATTATTTTTGTTGGATATTGTTTAAACAAAATCAAAAATTAATAAGATACCTGAGGGATGGAGACGAGCAAAGAGTCATACTCATTTACTTGACTGGAGCTATTTGCTGCATTTAAACTGTTTATTCTTTTAGTACAAAATGTGAAATTCTTAATACTGTACTGGAGACCTTTATCTCCTTCCATCCAATTTTCTGAAATGGTTGAACTATATCCAAGTGCAAACAATGGCTCCGACGTAGTTTTAAACTGCTGTGGTGGGGGTTTAATAGGATTAATGGTCCAGTCTAAACAGTTTGGTGGTACTTGTTCAGCGGGTGGCAGTCTTAAGCTAGAAGTTGATGGGTAAATATATGGCGGTGGCTGTGTAGAACTTCCCGCTATTGGCATATACGAAGGAAAACTTTGACTGTTTGGCCAGGGTGATAGAGGCACTGGATATGTAAGTTGTGCAGCAGACGTGGACGGTTGTGCTGCATCCATTTGGTAGTGGTAAGGAGGAAATTGGAGTTTTTCATCAGTATTTGTTCGTGGATGGTTTTCATCTTTTGATGTGGATGGTCCAGGCTGACAATATTGAGGTAAATCTGAATTCATAGCGACCGCAGTATACTTAAGTTCAAAACATTTTGAAAATTATTATATATTTATAATAACATAAAAAATATTTGAATAATTAATTTTGGTAGTTGAAACTTGAAATTGTTGAATAACTAATAACCACCGCCGGCATAGATATTATTATAATTTATGTTACCAGTAAAAAAAAATGTTCTTAACAATTTTAACTTCCTATCAGAGCTTATCAATAATATGATAAGAAGGTATGATATTTTCTGATTGGTCGTTTTGCATGTGACATTGTTCTATGCTTAGATCATATACTATGGATGGAGCCACTGCATATTATTTTGAAGCCGATATTAGCGACGAGTCACCGAATTAGGTGATCGATATGCGCATGCGCGAAACAACTCGTTTAATATTAATATTATAACTGTCCCCATCCCAGCCGAGTCACAGAATTAGGTGTTCGATATGCGCATGCGCAACGCAACCTCTCGCATATTTATCAGCTGGTGATTATAATATTAATATTAAACGAGTTGTTTCGCGCATGCGCATATCGATCACCTAATTCGGTGACTCGTCGCTAATATCGGCTTCAACTTTTTGTATTGCTATAATACGCAGTGGCTCCATCCATAGTATATGATCTAAGGTTCTATGGTATCGATAGACCTCAATAAAGCGGTATTCATAAAATACAAAAAATACAAAAATACAAAATATATAAAAATGTGATATCATGCTCTATGGGAATATATTATGTATTATATTTTTAGGATATAGTTGTTAATTAATAACTAACATCTTAAGACTTAAGGTTAATGGTTAAAAGACTTAAGGACTTCATGGTTTGAAATTTAATATCAAAATATATAGGTACCTATCAGAAATATTAAACTAAACATTATTATAACATTTATTAAAAAGAAAACAAGCATTAATGTGGTTTTATAATAAAACTACAGCTGAATTACCCTGCGTTGCCCGAAAAAAATTGTGATCGTCCAACTCATTTGGGTGTAACACGCTGTGGAAGCAAGTGTCTTTGTAAGTGTAAATTATATTATATTTTACTAATAGAATGCATAAAGGACACCTGTACACACACACAAACATTAATTTATCTATATTTACAAATTGTTCTATTTCTAAAAATCAATGATTTTGTATACCAATTTTTTTCAATGATACTTAAAAAAAACTAATCGGGAGCAATGATAAAAACTTTTCTACGTTTCAAAGAATTTCAAACCAACCCCCTAACCAAAATTAAAATGAAATTAAGTTGGAAACACCTAAAAGTAATAACAATTTTAAAAAAAACACATCATTGTATTTAGCCATATAAGATTACTTCACGATGAGGCCCGGACTGTACCGGTTTTGTATATAGTAAAATTCTCGTGTCACAGTGTTAGTTAGGTACCATACTCCTCCGAAAAGGCTTGACCGATTTTCATGAAATTTTATATGCATATTCAGTAGGTCTGCGAATCGGCTACTATCTATTTTTCATACCCCTAAGTCATAAGGGTTGTACAGAAAAAAATTAAATTAAAAATAATAATAGTGTATTATATATTGGTTGCGGAATAACCATTCGGGCATGTTTGTTGATTTGTATTATTGTTTTTTGTCAATATATATATATATATATATAAATGAATGTTTGTGTGTAGGTAAGACCTCTGGGAAGAATATATTATAATTTAAAAAGGGTTAAATTTTGTTTTTTTTTATTCGTCGGATTTTATTACTGTTAGGTTAGGATTTTGTATTAATTGATTATATTAATTCATCGTAGGCGGAATTGAGTAAAACCGACGAACTTTGTATAATTTTGATACTTTAGAGTTAAATCATACACTTACGTACAAACAGCACGAGGTCCGCGATCTACCGCAGGTAGATTGCATACCTGATAATACACTGCTGTGAATTAAAATTTGTATTAAGGGCAAAAGAAAAGTTAAAATAAATCTAGAACGACTAGAACATCATACACCGAATATTAAATAGCGCATTGAACAAAGTTTAAGTCATATACAGTTTGTACATTTAACGGGTAACGAAGTGTACGGGATCAGCTAGTAATATTATATTAACATGACTAAATTATAATATTATATTGACATATAAAAAGATTAGCGTATATTTAAAAAAAATTCGTGGACTAGGTATAAAAATAAGAAAAAATGTAGTAAAATGGCTCGGTCATCGATCCACGATGGATCTACGATATAATATATATCTATGGTTCTGTCTTTCTTAAGATGATGCAATAAAATTATCTCAACAATTTTAATTCTGCATTTCATGCTTCAAGTTAAGACGTTAAATGGATCAACAATGAGGTATTTGTGTTAGACAATAATTATTATTTGTGATTTATGAGTGTTATATTAGAATATTATATAATAATTATTTTATTCCATATTTCAATGTTCTTTCGCGTCGGCCGATGAGGTTTAAGCCGGGTACACACCAATGCAGTGCAAATAAAGTGGGTTTCGCTCTGCTGTACAGTAGTTTAAAACTTTACAAGTGCAGGGCCACTGTAAAGATTGTGTTAAATTTGAATTCAATGATAAAATATCATTGGATACTTGCAGTGGCGTATTTTGGGTAATTTATCGGGGGGTGTCCAACATTTATTGAACCTCACAAACAAAATTTTTAGAATTATTAACTACTAATATTTTATTTATATTGAGTTCAGAGTTGTGATATAAATTTTATTGAATCGATATTGAATATCGATATTTTTTCCGATTATTTTATTTTATTGTCCTATAATAAATGTCCTTAATTTTTCTTTTGTTTTTCAAGGCGCTTTTGAAAACTACTGGGAATTTTTTTACTTCTGACCCCCCAAAGTACCAACTAGATTCACTTTCCTAACATAAAAGATACTGTTGAAGAAAACCAAGCACTTTTACTGTCCTAAAAGGTGATGACAGACACAAAAAAAAATTTAAAAAAAAAATTAAAAAAAAACACACATCATTGTAAAATCCATACATTCATCGTTCCACTCAGAATCTAAAATTTAGTAAAATGTTCATGTATCTACAGTTATTCGTTTTTGAATAACAATAAAATAACAAAACCGCTACATGAGAAATCGAGTGAATATAGCCAATAATGTAAAAATGATGAACTTCAAACGCTCATAAAAATTTAATTTGATTTGCTTATGGACATTTTTTTTTGATAAAGGTAGATAAACTTATGAGTATTCTTGTATTAATTTTTCAATCTTAGATTTAAAAAGAAAATTTTTTATGAATTCTCAGCTCAAAATAGTTTGCTAATTTTCGTGACTTTTCCGTATTTTGTCAAGATTTGAACTTTAAATACTTATAAAAAAAATTGTAAAATTGTGGCAATGGAATTTTAATATTTTTCATCTGTCTTTGAAACCATATATTAGGAGCCTTCTATTACATTTTTAAGCTTTTGTACCCAACAAATAAATTTGATTGATATTTATAGAAAAAAAAACTAAAAAAAAAAAATGTTAACTGAAAATGTCCGTTAAGAGCTCAAAATATTTGGAATATGTTATGGTGAATTGAAAATGCTAATATAAATATTAAAGTAAAAATTTCATGTACCTACGGTAATTTGTTTAAGAGTTGCACCAAAAACAAAAATCGATTTTCTTAAAAACAGATCTTGTCTAAAACTTCCTGTTTTTCCTTAATTTTTCTTTTGTTTTTCACGGAACTTTTGAAAACTACTGGACAAATTTTACTTTTGACCCCCCAAAGTAGCAACTAGATTCACTTTCCTATCAGAAAAGATACTGTTGAAGAAAATCTAAGCAGTTTTACTGTCCTAAGAGGTGATGACAGACACAAAAAAAAAACAACACATAATAATTGTAAAATCAATACATTCATCGTTCCACTCAGAATCTAAAATTGAAATTTGAAATTGTCCGTAAATTGTATTTCCAAATTGTATGGTGATGTAATAAAAATAAAAATATAAAAATTTGCTCTGTTGTACAGTAGGTTATAAGTGGGTCACTGTATAATGGAAGGTATTAAATTTGAATTCAATGATATAATATAATTGTATAAGAAAAACGATTCTGAGCGGAGACGGTATGTCAGGTTAGGTATAGGTAAGACATATTATATACTTATCTATGGTATTAAAAAAAATTGACCTATAATAGGTATCACATATTCATTAGGTACTTATAACGCGTTATACATCAACAACAAACCCTGATACTATCCAAGCCCGGATTAAGGGGGGGTTCCAGGGGGGGGGCCATGGCCCCCGGGCCTCCATTTATTTAGGGGCCTCAGATTTGTCCATTATAGGCTATAACACCTCATAAATCACTTAAAAAAAATCGATGATTATTTAGCGAGGAAAAAAGCTTGTAAATTATAATTTATAAATAAAATGATACTTAATTCTTGATTTATTGCTATGTACCTAATAACCTATATATATTTATTATAACAGGTACCTATATATTAATATACATTATTTTTTTTTTCGTACAGGGGCCTCATTTAAACTTTGGCCCTTGGGCCTCAAAATGTCTTAATCCGGGCTTGATACAATCATAGATATACAATAGTGTACTTTAGAAGTTTCAAGTACCCACGAATAATATTATAAAATCACAACAAAATAACTAAAATAGTTATTCTAGGTTTTTTTTATGTGATTTCGTCCAAATTTGAACTTAAAATGACTATAAAAATAAAATTTGCTTATGTATTTTTTTAGATTTTTTGGTAACAGAATTAACTACTTACGTGGAATCTTGTTTTAATTTTTCAATCCTTAGATATAAAAGTTGAACATTTTATACATTTTTAACTAAAAAATAATTATTCAATTTTAAATTTGATAAATGTTGTCAAAATTCGATCTTTAAATGCTTATAAAAAAAAATTGTGACTAAAGATTTTTAATATTTTTATTTTGGAAAAATCTACTATTTGCCTTCTATTTAATTTAGTTTAGTTTTTTAACCAACAAATAAAATTTTATTGATA